CGGGCAAGGCTTCTGATTGGCTCTTGGAGATTTGGCTGGCTGTGCGGATTTTTTTTTTTAAATTTTACTTGGGCAGCCGCTGCCACTACAGCACAAGGATCTACACTGTGTCACTAAAATTAAACTGGCAATCATTTTGTGGCTGGCTCTGCCTCCTGCGGCAGCCATTTTGTGGCAGCTGTGTTGTTGCTGCGCCCACCATGCCTAGGGTGGCCAGGCCCCAGGTCCGGGTGGGGGCTCCCCAGCTTTTGGGGGCTACAATTCGCCTCTGGCCAGCTGGCTGGTGGGGGAAGCCCCAACCCCAAGCACAACCACCCGCCCGGCCCCCCCCTCCCTCCCTCCTGCAAGATGTAAAGGGCCCTCCAGTTGATCGGTGGGCCATGTGCTCCCGCTCGTCAGCCAGAGGGCCCTTTAAATCTTGCAGTGGGGGGGCTGCTGTTGGTCACTCCTGTGGGTGAGGCTCCCCCCCGCTGGCTACCTGGCTGGTGGTAGGAAGGAGCCCCCAAAATTGGGGGAACCCCTGCTCAGACCGGGGGTCCAGCAACCCTAGCATCTCTTTTTTTTTTTTTTAAACTTTTTAAAAAATTTATTATTGAAGCTTATATACATTATCTTACATTAAATCATTATACAATCATTTTACCCCACTCCCTCCCCCCTCCCTCCTTGTAGTATTTTCATATTTTTAACCATGTGCACAGATTCTTCATTCGTATTTGGATATTTGGATTGGCTTCTCCCCTTTCCACCCATTCCTTATATCCCCCCCATTTATTTGTAATCTTTTGACATTTCTCCTCCCATGTCTCTTCAGTAATTATCTGTGCGAATATATCTAATTGTACGTGTTCAAAGACATAATTATTCCAATTTTCCATTGTCCATTTGTGCCTGTCCCTCCATCCCAATGCTATTACAGCCATCCCGGCTAGAACCATAATTTTATATAACTCCCGCTTATTTCTTTCCACTTTTTTGTTTCCCAATATTCCAGAAATGAGCAAATCCCTGTTGATCTCTACATTAACTTGAAATAGATCAAAGATAACCCTTACAATCTTTTGCCAAAATTCCTTAACCACTTTACATTCCCACCACATATGGGCGTATATACCCACTTCTTGGCCACAGTGCCAACACTTTGGATTCATTCCTTTAATCATGTACGCTATCTGAGCCGGAGTTCTATACCATTTCCACATAAATTTCCTCACCAATTCTTTATATCTATCTATTTTAATTTGATTTATACCGTTCATTATTTCTTGAATCACTTCCTGATGCATTAACCCTTCTCCCTCCCATTTATTCTGTATAATCCGTATCATTCTCTCCTTATCTCTTACCATCAATTTATATAATGCCCCCGCTATCCCTTTTTCTTTTACTTGTCTTCTGCTTAATATTTCATCAATTTCTGTTCTCTCCCTGCTTATCCCCTCTAATCTTTCAGATTTAACTAAATTGTATAGTCCTTGCACCTCTAACCAGTACTGCTTTCCGACTTTCTCTGAAAAATTGTTTTTTGCAATTAAAGTTCCTCCTTCAACAAACATATCTTTTAGCCAATAAAAACCGCATTCTTGTAATTTCTTCCACCACCCCATATCGGTAAATTCCTTATTTATATATTTTAATGGCATCCATTTTGAATAGCCTGGCAACCATTTCCTTTTCCAACTTTTCCAGATACCTAGAGCTATTTTCCTTGGTCCAATCGCCTTCTTATACGCCATCTGCACCTCGCCACAAAAAATCCCCTCTCTTCCTATTCTATTATTTATCTCATTTTCCAGCCTCACCCATTTAACTCTATCACTATATCCAATCTCTATTAAATATTTCAATTGAAATGCCTCATAATACAGTTCCAAATTTGGTATCGCCCATCCCATCTCTTCTTTTGGTGGGCTTTCCATCTTTAGGAGGTAGTGGCACGGCTCAGGCGGTGTCGGGCTCCTGGAGCATCCCCCTCCCCGCCCCGTTCTGCCCAGAAGTCTGGGGCCTGCGAACACGAGCCCCGACCCCCTGCGGGAATCCGGGCAGGGCGGGATTCAGCGCCAGGATGCAGGCGAAAAAGGCCCGCCCGCCCGCCTTCCTCCACCTTCACCAGAAGATCATGGCCCCCAATGGAGAGAGTGACTCTGGTTCCCCTCGGGTGCACCCCCCCTCCCTTGGGAGTCCCTGGACTCCTATCACACACCCACACACACCCCGGTGTTTTTTCCTCCCCCCCCCCAGCTGTGCCCGCCCCAGAAACAAGCTGAGACAAAGCTTTTCAGAATTTGTTTTAATTAGGAATCAGTCGCTTAAAAACTGCAAAATACTCTGCATAACTGCAAAATAGTAGAATTTTTTTGGTAAAGAGGCCTTCACCTCAGTATAAATAGGGAAGAATACATGTATCTGTAGATATTGATAAGAGAATTCAAGTACAATCGCCCGAACAGGCTGTTTATTCAGCCACAGACCTGCACGGAGGCTGCCACACCAGGCGCTCTCCTGGTGTTCTTTGCCCTCGGCCAGAACCGCGCGAGGAAGGCTGCAAAGCTTTCCACCCCAGAGGCACTTGGGCGGCAGGCCCAGGCGGCTGGAGGAAGGAAGGAGGGAAGCCCTTCTTCACAAGACAGTCCAGAGCAGCGCACTGAGGGGGGACTGAGGGGCTGCCACCCAAGGCCCTTCCGGCTGGCTCCCTCCTGCCCTGGGAAACAGGAAGCCCACAGTGAACCGCCTCTCCCTGGGGCTCCAGCCGCAAGCCTCGGAAGGAACCCAGGTGCACCCACGCACGGCCTTCCAGGAAGCGGCCACTTCAGCTGAGCCATGCCCAAGTGGGAAGAGGCCCTTGTGGGTGCGGGGGGGGGGGGGGGGGGAGGAATGATTCCAGCCATGTCTTCACCAGCTCCTCCGGCTGCTGGCATGCAGAATGGGCCCAAGGCCCCGGAGACAGAATCCCCCATCCTCCACAAGGGGGAGGGAGGAGGAGGAGGAAGGGCTCCCCCGGCAGAGGGAGACACGAGGAGGCTGGCCAGGGTGCTCATCGTCCACCACGGCACTTCCAGGTCCCTTTGGATTGATCCACTGTGATTTGAACAGAGGAAAAAGAGATCCCTTCAGCAGTTCGTGGCAGTGGGAAGGAATCCCCACCCCTGCCGCCACGTGCCACGTCTGCACTGGAAGCAGAGGAGCGAGGGGCTGAAGGGCACGCGGGGGGCAGAAGGGCCTGGAGGGCGAGCAGACTCGTCTTTGCCTTCGGTGCTGCAGGAGAGGAGAGAGAAGAGCAGGCCTGCCCTCGCCCTTGCCTGAGGAAAGCGGAGCCCAAGGCCCTGGCTCAGAACTGGACCCAGCCGGTGGTCTGCTGAGCGGGGCCAGAAGCAGACCTACGAGGAAGCAGAGAAACAAGAGGCTCTCTCAGCCGCAGGGACCGACACGACCCCCAAGGGGGGAGGGAGGCTGCTTTCTCCAAGGTGGGCAGAGATGCCGCTCCCCGCACCCCAGGGCCTGTCACGGGGGAAATACCTGCACGTGTTTCACTGGGCATGACGGAAACGCAGGACCCCTCAGAGAAGGCGCTCCCTGCCTGCCCAGGAGTCTCAGATCCCCGCCCTGTGCCAAGGGCAGTCTGTGCCAGCCAAGCCCTCTGGCAGAGGCAAAGAGGGACACAGGAGTGGAGGAGAGACAGCAGACGCCGGCCGGGGACCAGGCAGGGCTTTAAGTCTGGCCTCCAAACGCTCCTCCTCACCCGGATGCCTGAGCGAAGTCTCCCCAGATGTCAGCAGCGGCTTCAGCTGTAGGCGTCTGGTGTTCTGGCCAAGCCACGGGGGCCTCTGCTAGCAGAAGACAGAGGAAGGGATCAGCCGAGGTATTTAACCACCACCACCCCCCCAAGAAGCAGTTGCGTTTCTGTGGAGGCAGCCAGTTTCTGCTAGGGGCAGGAAGGGCAGTAGCTGGCACTCGTGGGTGGGTGGTTGGGTGAGTGGAGAGTGTCTCAGAGTAATGGTCCATTCCTACTGGTTCCAATGGTGCTCCAGGTTGGGGGGGGGGCAGTCGTCTTGCTCCCCAGCAAGCGGACCCTCCAGGTCCTCTAGCTCAGCACGGCTGCTCCCTCCCTCCCTCCACCCTAAGCCAGGCCTAGGATGCATCTTCAGACCCCCCGCCCTCGGGCCCCCCCCCCCCCCCCCAGGAAACCCTGAGCAACAGCATCCCCACCGCTCCGTGGGTGGCCTCGGCCGAGAGGTGGGGGCAGCACGCCAACACACTCCCACTGGCAGAGGACTTGGCCGAGACACATCCACTGCCCTCAGAGCATGAGAAACAAACCGGCTGGCGGCAGCCCTGCCCAAAGCAAGGGTGTTCCTAGAACACACTGAGGGGCAGGGGATCCATCCTTCCCGGGAGGGCCAGCCCTGGACACAGCCTCCAGACCAGAGCTTTATGCAGCTCCCTCCCCCCCCCCCCCCCCGCAAAACACCCCCAAC